GTCCACCTCCGCGGCGTAGCCCTGCTGGATGAGCTCTCTAAGTTCTGGCGCACCCCAGACCCGAGAACACCTCGGGTTCTCGATCAACCAAGCACCTCCATAACCTTGCACGACCTTCGCCACGTCCTTCACTGAAAAAAGGTAGATCTCGATCTTGTCGCTCTCGAACTTTGGACTGGCCCTTCTGGAAGTAGGTCGGGTTGCTCCGGGGCCCGCTGGGGAAAGCCATCAGAACCAGCTTCGGCTTCTTCGCCCTGATGTCCTGGAGCAACTCGCGGCGCTTCTTCGGCGTTCGGAAGTCGCCTCCAAACTCCAACGAGTGGCTCCTCACCGTCGGGGGCCTCCTTGTGCGCCGCCTCCTTTGCCGCGAACACCTCCGCGATCCACGGCTGCGCCTCGGTCTTCTCGCTCACCACCGCCTCGCACTCGGCCCCCCGCGAGTCGAAGGAGGGCCCGAACTCCGCCATGAAAGCCTCGGGCTTGGTGTTGATCGCCTGCAGGTCGCGCTGCAGGGAGCGCAGCTGGTCCTTCGCCAGCGTCTCGGCACCGTTCTTCATCGCGTCCACCGCGGGGTCAGGCCGACCCGGTCCGCAAAGTTCGCCTCCTTCACGACCTTCAGCGGCATCCCCATGTCCAGCATAGCGGCGCCGAAGAGCCACCTCGACAACGCCGAGGGTCCTCGAGCAGCAGGTCGCGCTCGATAATCGAGAGGCGGCGGTCGCGCCGCCGCGCCGCCGGCCGCCGGGCCTCTCGAGCCCAACCGGGCTCGCAAGAACAACACCTCGTCGCACGCGTAGGCTGCGTCCTTCAGCGCAGGCATCGCCATCAGCTCTGGGTCGCCGCCCGTCGGAACCTGGCGGTCGCGGGCGCACTCCACCAGCTCGTTTTTGTTCTTGATGCCCAGGAGAGGCAACACCCGCATGCGCCTCCTCGCCGTGCTTGTTGCCACCGAGCTCGCCGCCCCTGGGGTCGGGCTGCCTGCTGGCCCGGCGGAGCCTGAGGCTCCCGGCGAAACGCCCACGCTCACGAGCGCCTCGCCTGCCTCCTGAGGCGCCCTCCGACTCTGCCTCACGCCAGCCTCCATCAGTCGGTCAACCAGCACCTCGATGCTCAGGTGCTCCGCCCGTGAGATCTCCAGCACCTCAGCCATGTCCTCCAGCACGTCCCGGGGAACACGGAGCAGCTGGCCTCGATCGCAGAGCAACGGCCGGTCCCTCGACGAGGTCGGCCTCGGTCTCTCGGGCCCCGACTCTCAGTAGAGCCAGGCGATCGTGCTCCTCGGCGGGTCGAGCGGCTCAAACGCCTCCTCACTTGGCACACAGTCGACCCGCCTCAGCTCCTCGATCACGTCGCCCGCGCCCATGCAGATCGTCTCGCGGGCCCACACCAACTCCCAGTTCGGCCCGCCGCGGTTCAAGGACTCGAGCGCCCTGGTGTTGTATCCTGGCGGCCCCGCACCTCCAGGCCGGAGATGTCTATCTCGCCTTCGAGCATGCCCCAGTCTTCGTCGCGGTCACCCGGCACAGCCCCCTCCTCAGCAGCACGTCGGTCAGCCTCTCGAGCGGCCATCTCGGATCGCACCGTGATCTGCGCATCTTGGACCTTAGACTCCACCCTGAACACCGCCGCGGCAGTCGGGGGCCCCGACGGAGGTCTCCGACTGTCGCGCGGGAAGATCGGCATTGAGTAGCGTCCGCCGTCTGTCTCGCTCAAGGGCCCCGGCGCGATGCCGAGCTTGTCCGACTCGAACAGATCCCCCACAAAGTTAATGTCCGCGCCCATGCCCCTGAGCGCGCCCTTGCCGATGAGCAGCTGCAGCACCGAGTCCTCGATGACCGCCGAGAAGGTCGGGTAGGCGTCGACCCCGAAGACCGACGCCGGCACCGTCCAACGCCCCTTGGGCATCTGCTTCTGGCCGCTTCCGAACCGGAAAACGGCAAGCTGAGGCCCCTTCTCGATATGCCCCTCGATGCCCAACTCCACGCGGCGGCCCTCGATCCTGTCGGCGCAGGCGTCGCCCGACACCGCGCCGTCGCAGGCCGAGCCCAGCGCTCCGACATCGCCTTGGCCACCGATGGACGCGGACGACAGCAAAACCTCTTGAACCCCTCGCTCGTCGCTCGACCCATCCGGCGACACCGGACTCGCGACGGAAGAATGGGGGCGCAGCCCACAGCCGAGACATGGCCCACTCGTCGACACTGCGCCGTGGTCGACGAAAGAATGCGGGGCACCACTCCCGCAGCCAGGAATCAGCCCATCCGCCTGTCCTCCGCTACCAGATGAATGCGGGGCACCACTCTCGCAGCCGAGCAACCTCATTGCCACGAGCACCTCGAACGTCTGCGGGGGCCCTGCCTCCTCTAGCTTCTGGTCGTCTTGACTGGCCACCTCTAGGTAGTCGCGGCCGCGCATTGCGCAGCGGACGTCACGGACGTCGCCCATGCAGCTGCAGTCCATGCACCATGGCTCCACGCTTGAGGACCCGAGATTGCGCTTGGTCACCAGCGCCTCGAACACATCCCTCTGGATGATCGCCTCCTGCGCGTCGCGAACCTCCTGGGTTTCCAGCAGACCCACCACCATCGCGCCCCGCGGCTTGATCCTCTGCGGCAACTTCTTCTCCGCCTGCTCGGCCTTCCACTCCTTGAGCCCTGGGCGCCAGGAGTCGCCTGCCCAGTGACCCTCCTCGCCGCAGGCGTGGCAGTCTGAGTCATTTTTGTCGTGGTCCTTGTTGCCCTGGCCGAAGCTCGGCATGAACTTCTTGCCGCTGCTCGACCTCGAGCCCGAGCCTCCCCCACTGCCCCTACCACCGAACTTGCGATCCACTCGCAACTCCTTCACGCGCTTCTCGCTCTCGCGCACCGTGATGAGACCTCCCGTCACCGAGCCCGCGCCGCTTTCCAAGTTCCCGAGCTCCTGACCCAACTCGGGGTCGCGCTCGGCCTCCTCGAGCACGGTCGACAGCGCCTCGAGCACCGCGGCGAGGATGCCCTCGATGTCGTAATTAGTCCTGCTCTGTCGTCGAAGCCTCCTCGGCAGTCTCGTCGCCAGCGTCTCCATCGAAGCTGCCGGGCTCAGCATTCAGGGCCTCAAGCTCGACCTCGTCGAACTGACTGATGCCGCCCAGGTCCTCCGTCACGTTTGCCTCCTTGAACTTCCGCATCACCTTCTTCCACAGCAGCTGCGCCCCGGGTCGATTGAACGCGATCGGCTTCCGACTGCGGTCGGACATGTTCGAGCGGCGCTCCGTCGTGCGCAGGTCGGGGAACACTCGCATCATCGCTGCCGCCGGCCGAGGTCATCAGCATGCTGCCGCCGGTCGAGGTCATCAACATGCTGTTCTGCGCGTCTGTCAGGCCCGTCTTCTCGATGAGCCACCAGCCCGCCGTCCTCGGCAGCAGAGCCACGTCGTCCTCGTCGAGCTGACTCCGAGCCTCTCCGAACCTGATCACCCACGCATTCAAATCCTCTCCGGCTCGCCTGCGCAGTCGGCTCGTCCACACCCATCGTCGCGAGCACCTTCATGAGCCTGTTCATGCCCGCCATCATGTCGGGTTCCTCCCAGTGCCCGCGCTCCTCCTCGCAGGTCTCTCCGTCCTGCTGGGGCGCTTCCGCGGCGTCGGCGTCGAGCTCCTTGTCGGGTACCCACGTCCATGGCTCCGCGCGCAGCTCGACCATAGGGATGGACTCGTCGAACGTTTAACGTTTTCGCCAGGCATGTCAAGCACCTCACCATCCGGGCGGCCCACAACCAACTCACGTCTAGGTTGATCCCCTGAACCCACAGCGCCACATCTTCTTGTACTGCCGCCACCGCCCCAGAGATCCGCCCTACGACAGGATCCCCTCAAGGTCGCGGCTCGTCCACTGCGGCGCCTGCGCCCAACTCGTCGTAGTTCGTTGCTGCCACGACGAGCCTGCACCTCCGTTGTGCCGCGGATGGAGCGCATCCGGGCTGGGCACTCCTCCGCCCATCGCCGGATGTCGCCCTGGAGCCGACGCATACCGCATCGCTCCCGTCGTCGCACTCGATCGTGATCACGCACTACTCGTTGCCGTCGGTCAGCGTCTGCTGCCGTCTCCACTACGAAACTGCCTGCAACTCGCCGCTCTCGCCTGGCGTGCCAACGGGCGCTCCGCTACCACTGCGGAACCGAGGGTCTCAAAAGTGTCCTCCCCCTCCAGTCCCGCACCGGGGTATGGCGGCGAGCGCGCGGCAGCGCTAGGGGGCCAGACTGCTTTCCTCGGCCACTCGCTCAAGCAACCAATTTATCTCAAGCCTGCTAGAGCCAAACGAGCGTCCGTCGAGCGAGCAAGAAGGGAAATAGAGAGAGAGAGAAATAAACGGAGCAGGGGGCGAGTCTGGGCCTGGGGGCCGCGTTTTTCAACAGAGCGCCCCAGAGGCGATTTTAGAGGCTCTAGAGGGGAATCCCAAATTGGGGAACCTCCTTTTTGATCGACGTCCTCCAAGATGGCCCCAAGAAGCGTCCAGGAGGCCCCAAGAGGCCCCAAGATGGCCCCAAGAGGCCACCAAGAGGTCCCCAGGAGGCCCCCAAGAAGACCCCAAGAGGCCCCCCCGAAGCACCCAAGACGCCCAAGAGCCCCCAAGGACCGCCAAGGGACTCCCACCACGTCCCAAGAGGCCACCAAGAAGCGCCCAAGAGACATCCCAAGAGGCTCGGAGAAGCATCCAAGAGACCTCTGGCCATTTTGCTTGCCCTCCTCCTCCTGCTCCTCCTTCCTCCTCCTACTCCTTCTCTTCCTCCTCCTCCTCCTCCTCCTCCTCCTTCTCCTCCTCCTCATCCTTCTCATCATCATATTCAGATTCCTTCTCCCAACTCCCTCATCCATCCATCCAGCCTCCTCCTTCTTCTCCTCCCTCCTTCGCACGGTTCGGCCGTCCCCCTCTTTGCTCCGGCACTTCCCTGATCACCTCAACTCGCCTGGACATCCTTTCTGGATGGGCTGGTGGGGATATGCGAAGCGTCTAGAATTTCTTCGACGCTCCCCTGCTCCATATATGGCCTCAAGATCTGTTCCACGCCACCCGTGACGTCTTTGTTCAAAATGATGAACTTGTCAAATCCCACGCTCAAATGATAGTCCAACCATTCGGCTATGTACTCCGCCTCTGCGGCCACGGCTCTCGAGAGCGCAACCAGGTAGTACCTCCTGCAAGTAGCCATCCCGAACTGCACATAATGATCTACGCAATACTCACGTTTGCTTCCTCGGAATGACTGATTGCGTGCATTGTTAGTGGCACGCGCTTGCTGCATTTGCAATAACTGTGGCTGGAAATTCAGAATGCGCAGGTCCTTGCAAGCGCTTCCATTTGCTCCTCGAAAGCGTTTCTGGATTGACTCGAGCGAATGATGATTCCACTCAAAGGTGGAACTGTTACGGAGTTCAACCATCTGCTGGTAGCTACGCGAATAATGATTCACAGTTGGCCAGACAACCCAATCTACGGTGCTGAAGCATGCAGGCTGCCAAGTGAACATCGGTATGACAAGGAGAACCATGGAACACATGGATGCAAATATGCGACCGCATGTCCGTTCATGCCGCGAGGGGAAAATTGCAATGGAGAACAGTCCCAATACACAGAACGCTTTTTTGGTTCCTGTTGGAAGACACCAGAGCCAAGAGCTAAAAAATGTAAAATATGTGGCGTCAGAGGGGATGCAACCCATGGGACCTCGAACGCTTGGCCGGAGGATCCAAATCGGTACGACAAACCGAAAAACAACAATTAAGGCATTGAGCCACAATGGCTGCGGAGTGAAGTTGGGGTCCAGAAAGCTGCTCAAAATGAAAGTGCACAACGCACCTTGATTAGAGGGGCCATCTGGGAGCCAATCTTGAAGCTCGAGAGGACCTCCGAAAAAACATGTGGAACATGTATGGGCCCAAGTGGGTTAAAGTTGTGGACCAGGAAAGTGTTACTCATCAAGGTTCGCAGCACACCTAACAGCAGGGAGGATCTAGGAGCCAATTTTGAAGTCCAAGAATCCCTCAGAACGCCATTTGGGACACTTCTGAGCGATAGTGGTGGATCACAGCACCCCATCCCTCTCTCACTCGCCTCTCTCCTCCCTCACCCCCTTCTCCCTCTGTCACTCCCTTCTCCAAGATCCCTCCCTTGCCCCCTCTCCGTCTCTCACTCCCTTCTCTCCCTCCCGTCACCCTTCCTCCATCCCTCTCTCTCTCTCTCTCTTTCTCTCTCCTCTCTCCCTCGGGCCCTATTCCTATCTCACTATTGTTCTCTCTCGCTTTCTCTCTCTCTCCCTCTCTCTCTCTCTCTCTCTCTCTCTCTCTTCTCTCTACCTCTATATATATACATATAAATGTGTTATATCTCTCTCGCTCTCTCCACCTCTGTATGTCTATATCTCCCTCTCCCTCTACTCTAGCATCTCCCCCGTGTACCCGTTCTCTCTTGAATGATACAGATTTGTGGATAACTAGGCTGATATAGCAATATATAGCATGGTCGACGGGGCTGGATAGGTTAATACTTTTAATTTCGCTACCGACATTTACGATTGATCGGCACCTAAATGTATAGCGTGTTCGACATGTTTGGATCGCTTGGCACTTAAATTCAAATAGCTTGATACATCATTGTTTATCATATTCGATGTGCACAGATAGGTCGGCGCAGAAATTAGTGGCATGTTCGATGTGTTTCGATGGCTTAGTACAGCACTGCATACCATACTCGGTGTGTGTTTGGAGAGGTTGATACAAAATTTAGTTTGGAGAGGCTGATACAGAAATTGACAGCAAGTTCGAGGTGATGATCATGTACTGCCCAAACAGTGCTTGCACTCAGGGGTTCTTACCTGCACCCAAGTAACTAGCCACTGCTTCGCATTTCTCCTCCGGTCGCTGGTCGCCTCCAGTTGCTTCCCCAATCCTGCCAGATACTCCCCACACGCTTCCCATACCCCACATGCCCCCAAAAAAGGTCACCAGGTCACGAGGGTACAAGGGATCACAGGGGTCACAAGGAATCACAAGGAATCACAAAGGGTCACAAGGGTCACAGGGGTCACAGGGTTCACAAGAGTCACAGGGGTCACAGGGGTCACAGGAGTCACAGATCCTCAAGCAACGCCGTCTCCAGCGGTGAAGGCGACCCTGGTCTGTGTGGCAGGCCAGTTCGGGGACACACACTCCACGAATTGCCGCCCATCTTTTGTCACTCGCATTGTTCTTGCATGGTGCCAGACTATAATTTGCGCTTGTGACCCTCCGCCAATACCCCTCGACCATGCCCTCGTTTGGTTCGACTCAGTGAAAAGGTTGATTTTCGAAGAATACTTCAGAAGAACCAATGGAATGACAGTGAAAAGGCGCTAGGGAATCAAGGCGCTGGGGGAAATCCAATGCGAAACTGTCAGATCCAGCCTTCGTGACCCTGGCGTTCGGCCTTGCGACCCCCTGTGACCTGCACGGTTTCCCCCAGGGCCGTAGGCGACCCGAGGAGGA